GTTCTCTTACGTTCGCCTTAAGCGCCGTAATAAACATATACATATATAACGATAATTTAGCAACTCCACTCGGCTGCCTACTAATTATATATTGACAACCGGGTCAAAAGTAGTCCAGCTGTCACTTAATTTACACAGTTTCCAGCTGTGTGGAACGCTTCTCTGCATACACCACACTCTCGTCTTCACTTACCATTGAACCGGGGGCAACCACAGACGGATTATATCTAGCATAATACTCCGTCCAAACTCGTAGTACACGCATCGAAGAATTCATGATCAGTACTGTACGCTGACTACCTGAATCGATAGTGATTTCAGACCCCCGTGACTATCCTTGGTGTATTCAGACTTACCCTTATTATACAACGGATTCAAGAATTGTTTCCTATTTTCAAGAATATACGTCCATAGAGACACAGTCTCCTTATTACACTTCTGAAATAATCGTTCATAATCTACTACAATTGCTAGTTTGAAAGACAAGACTTACATTTTCCACTAAACGTTGCTTTTCGCTGTTAAATAAAAATGTACCGAATCTGCATGCATACAATTCATCCAATATCGTGATTAGTAAGAAGGAATTGAATTCAAAATGAACACCGTACTGAAAAAAAATAATATATGGTCTTAAACGCTTTATGACATATGCACACTTCTGAAAAGAGTCATTAGGACATACTTAAGCTAAGGCTCATTTATTTATCTTCCCGAAAAACCATAGGAACTTATTGTTCGAAGCACTATGGTTTACAAGCGGATTTGAAAGCTGATATTTCCACGATTCTACCAAAGCACCTTACCAAATCACTTCATGATTGACGCTTAGAATTCAGGTGCATTGTAACCACAATGGTTGTCGCTAAGTAGAGAATGAAAAAGGAGAAAGACAAGGAAACGCTGAAAATGAAGACCAAAAGAGTGCATTCTCGCCTCAACATCATGAGGATCATAGCATTCCGTTTTCAAGTTTCACAGGAGAGAAGCAAGCGAAGAATTAAATAGATGCTTTGAAAAACTCTTCACTGCCTCATACTTGTTCTTGGTATACTTGGTCTTGCCAACGTGACAGGACTGGCTAGCAACATAAAAAGAAGTAAAATAGAGGAGCTTCAACAAAGCGAGAAAAACAAAGCTACCCAGCTACCCAAGAATTTAGGGAGAGATCGGTGAGTGCATTTGCCAAGTATGAATTACTCGCATTCTCAAATAAGGTACAAATATGAATGAAGAAATAAGGTTGCTGGAAACTCTACAAAAAATGGCTGGAGTGTACACTGCGGAGAAGTGACACCGGCTACCATTGCGTCTGGAGAAATCTTTCTTACAGAGTCATAGTAGTCCAAAAATTGGCTCTAAATCCGAGATGGGAAAGATAGCGACTACTTGATGAGAGAATTCAAGCATGGCGAGCAGAAGAAAGATTTCAAACAATGATCAGCGACCGCATGATCGATCAATCGATTCCAAGTCGAAATAACGCAAACTCTATCACTCTTTGAAGTTAACCATAAGGAGTAAAATGTGAAACCGACAACCACTATCATAATGAACTATTAGATAGAACCATTACGTTAGAATAACTACAATTATATCTTTAATGCTTACCTGCTCCAGAAGCTGCCATACACAGTCAATAAACTGTACAAAAATCGGAGATCTCTCCCCATCATTGGCCTTGTCTTCTCCATGACCTGTATTGGCAGGGTTAAAATGACATCCGAATTTTTTTACCATAGAAAAACAAATATTGAAAATGAAAAGGCCGCAGAAAATGGTCTGAAGTCAGCACAGAAGTTAAAATCAAATCAAAACAGATAGTGAAATAAGTACCGACAGTGTTGAAGCATACCTATTCGATGTGCGAATTTGTGACCAAAGCTGCACCATTCTTTTTCTATCAACACCGCGAAGCCTTTGATTGTGCGATAGTATGGATCTAATTGAAGCATGGCCAAAGATGTTAGCTGGAATATTGGAATAAATGATTAGTGTCACAAAAGATGCCACAAGTGACATACCAAGAAATTTCGAAAAGCGCTTATGGTATGTTCAAGATAGCATTCTGCTTCCTCTCATAAAATTATTTCCCAAGAAAAACTAGAAATATGGAAAATAAAAAGGCGCAAAAAGCTTCTCACCGATACAACCCAGTAATCAGTTCCTATTTGAATTCATCGCAAGGTACTGAGAAGTGGAGCTGCCTTTGGGACAATAAATCTGTGCTTAAGTAAATGGGCAAGAGCGCCGCCATTCCTTCAAGCGAGGAGCTGTCGCCTGGTATCCATTGCATTGCGTAGTAATTACACCACTGCCCATTCACAAAAAAATCCCACGCCTATTTTTTTCAACTGTAAAAAAGTGGAATCCGAGTTCCCTTCCTTGTTACCCCGACCCCTTCATCTACTTGTCACAGATAGGTTTTATTTGTTTTGAGCAACAGTACAACAAACAGCAAAATCTAAACAGCCACCTGAGCCGTGCGATCCCATCCGTCTGAACAGTGGACGAGTACGGAACTACGGTTGCGTTCAACCTCGTTGACAATCTGGGCAGCACCTTCTATGATCGACTGAATATGGTTCAACCACTTGGAATCATCCAGCAGTCTCAGGTAATTCTTCTCATCAACACGAGGAAACAGACATTCTTTCAATTTCCGCAATCTGCAAAAAATAAAATGTTCACATACGAATGACACAGGGCTCTAGTTTTTATAGTTACCAGCACAAAATGTAAACAGCTTTAATTTTCTTATTGACCACTGAAATGAGCATTTATTCCCAGTCCCTTGCCCTTCAGCGCTTTGCTACCTTTCCATAAAAGCGCACCTTCCGAAAGGAAAGACAACACACTACTCCTTATCACCTTGTAACGACTCAAGCAAGCATAAGCGCTGCAAAGAAGTGTATGCGATCCCCTTCTGAGATAAGGAGAACAGTCGCCGTGCCGACAAAGAGATAACCAAAGACTTATGAGGAGTTCACATAAAGTGCGTCGTAATAAACATTTAATCAAAAACATTAGGCACGACCATTTAGGTTAGCATTAACGGTATATGAAAATAACATGAAGAAAAAAAGCCTTTGGGAGGTTCACGTAGCTACCTATGCGCTATAAGTAAGCCCCAAACACTCTAAACGAATCGCAGACACTGGACTCTTTGCCTTTTCTGATAGGAAACTATCGAACAATCCAATCTACTCGAAATTTTGACGGCTTCGAAAGATACCTCCAGTAGCAGTCAATATTAGCTCTCAAGTTCATTCCAGTTTTACCTACTACAACGTTCCAATTTGAATATCAACTTCAAATGTCAACAAAAATATGACTTACGATTCTCGAACCACGTGAATATTGTGGATGTTAAGGAATACCAGAGAACAATCTTCATACGACTCCTCGTAACCTCCTCCCTTAGCTCTGTTCACCTAAATGGCACAACGCTCAAAATTTCTAACAATTATGACACGATCGAATCAATAAGCGACATAAAAAACAACGGAGAGAACCCGCTGAGAAACATTTTCCATCAAGAGATGGGAAATCTATGCAATCAATAACTTTCAATTGGGTTTTAGAAGTTGTTTCGCCGATTCATTGGGCTATTAATGACTTGTAGAAACAGGTAGTCTGCAAAAACAAAGAACCTCCTAGCATTTCCACAAAATAATAAAATAAGGATAAAGTTTTTGGCGTTAATCAACCCCGTCTGAGGGGAGCATCCCCGCACTCGACTTCCATTCAGAATCGTAGTGGCGTAAGTGCTGGCCTATACAATGACTTGCGGTGGCCGGCCGATGAACTTAGCACTTTTATCCTCAAAGGCGAGCCTGGTATCAATTTACCTACCCCGGAGGGATACAGGGCTTAGTAGGCTTAGGCGAATTTCGACCCGGGATTTGAACCCCTAACCGTGCGTGAGAGATAATGCACCACTTGCTACTACACCACCTCCGCCCTTAACAACATTTGTTAGCGCTTAATAACAACAGCACTTGTTTCAGACCATGGGATCACTACGGTAAGCCCACGACGGATTGGGTTTGTCAGTAGATTCCTTGCGAGACACTGAGACTGCGTATGCTCACGAGATATTGACGAGAGAGCAAGTGATTCTGGTGAGTCACATTCCGAGGAGGGAATTCATCAGAAGAGCTTGGCCAATTGGACAAATATTATCAATAGCAAGCACAGCAGAGAATACTAGTTGCTGCGATTATTGTAAGTTCTGTCGTCGATAAACAGTGGTTTTGAAGGGTGCTCTTTTATTCACGCGAGTAAAATCGGAGGAATACTTTGACTACCTCACCTTTGCATTAACAACAGGACGGGCATCGAAAATCAACAACTGATAAGCATTCGCATTCGCCAGAACGATTTGTTTCAAAAACCTTAAGATTAAACTATTCGGAGATGTTTTACCACAATTCCTGGGAAGAAGTTCAAAGACCCACCACTCATCTTCGGTACATTTCCTATTGGTCATGCCTAACATCGGCTGCGAGCAACGTGTGATTGACGCTTGTGTGGCCGGATGCAACCAGCTCAACACCTGAAAAGTTTATCTAATGTTGTATCTTTAAAAATTTCTTTGTGCTAAATTTTCGGGTGGAAAAATAGTAAAAAAAGGACAACGAGTTCAATGGTGTAGAAAAAAAAGGGAAAAGAGTTGAAAGGAAAAAATGTGAACAATATTGAGCTAAGCGCCACTGGCTGCTTTCATACTTCGACGATTCTACCTGCGTGCTTGCCTGCGACGCGGCGCTAGACAGGTGTTAATAACACTGGACACCGATGGACCACGTGCCAGTGTTGTCGCAGTTGTGCAGACACGCACGCACGTAGAATCGTCGAAGTATGAAAGCAGCCGCTGAATCTAACAAACAGCAACAAAAACAAAGCACTTGTGAAAAGAAATAACCGACTCAAGGTAAAGCCTCTAAAGTTAGGAAAACGAGAAAGAAGGGGATATTCCGACATACGGTCCTTGTAAACGAGAAATCTTATTGAAAATCTTACCGGAATTCGTTGCCGACTGCGAAATTCACCGACCCTTTCGAGGAACTCTCGACCTTTCGCCTCTACAGTTGTCGGTATAGCCAGCTATAACGATACGCCTTATATAAAAATTATGGAAATTACAAGTGGTTGCACCGCATTTAATCTCCGTAAACTTACTAATCTGGGATAAGTATCCGCAAAGTCGTAGTGGTAGTTAATTTGAGTGAAACACCACAGTTCATTCGGTACACCAAGCCTGTTCAGCTCTACTTTAGCATCATACACGGTCCACCCGTCGACCTCGACTTTTGAACTGGATGATTGTGGGGTTGACTCTCGAAGAGACGTAGCATACAGAAATGCGTACAATGGCTGAAATGACAAATTTAAACTTGCAACGAGCTTTTTTCATACGCTTTTGAACTTGGTCAATGATCGAAGCCGATTATCGACAGGATTGTTGTTAACTTTTTGCAAAGGCGTAATAAGTAAGGTAAGCATCACTGGCTGCTTTCAGACTTCGACGATTCTACATGCGTACATGCCGGCACGCAAGTAGAATCGCAGGTGGAATCGTGCGAGCGAGCAAGAAGTATGAAAGCAGCCACTAAAGGAAATCTTATACGCCCATTTCCTCAGTAGGTTACTTGACATCAAAGGCGCTGTGTCAGAAAGAAGCGCTGAAGAAGAAAGTCGTTTGGTTGAAATTACTTGCTATGACTAAAGCCCTCTATTGAATGGCGGGGATATCGAAGTAGTGATTACAGCTACTAAATCAAGGAGAAAAATAGATGGATGAGAGACGTTCGAGCAAATCTTGAATTCACCAAAACATACAAATGTAAAGAATCATATAAATGGCGAATCATTCACTGCAAATATCAACAGATAAACAAAAAGTCCAACTGAAATTCATGAAACTTCTGACAATGAGAATGTTGTCGAAATTCTCACCAGTTTATTCGTCAAAGGAAATGCAAAGCGAAGCAAGGCATCGTACAGCGGGCGTCTACTATGGGAGGCAGGATGACAGGTGAACCGTATATGCCGCATATCCTAGAATATCCTCTATCAAAAAGAGTGTGTCATGAATGAAGCAACATCCAAGCTCCTCATCAAAACCAATCTTGAACCCTAATACTGAATTAGAATCGAGAATCATCGAATAACTCTAATCCCAATCGGGAAGAAGCCTCCAGTTAGAAACATGTAACGATGAGTTTGAAGAGAATCGAAATCATGATGAGAAAAAATTGGCACGAACAAGAAAGTTCTCCCATAATTCAACCGAACATGGGTCCAAACCCTGCCTTAGAAGTCTAATCATACTACTACATCGGCTTATTTTGGAGTTAGACACTCCAAAACTAACTGACTTAGGCACTTAAGGTACTAAAACAGTATATATAGGAACCCGTTTACATTTCTCGGGTGAATACGTAGGTCATCCCAAGATAACCAATCGAAACTTGCCGATTCAATCTTTAGGTCATCTAATCAAATTCAATGAAACAATGTGAGATATGCAGCATCCTACATGTTATGGTCCACCGTACTTCGTGATCGAATGAAAGGCAAATAAGGTAAACAAACCAACTGAACACCAATGATGAGATATTCAAATGGTGCAAGTGTTAACTTACCTTACATCCAATCAGTAAACCGTACGCATGTTCACCTCGACTAACAGTGGAATGCCCAACTTTCTCAACTTTGTAGATACAACCCAGAGGCACGTCAAACTGGCAATTCTGCAAACAGGTTCCCGATAGGATAGCCTTCTGATAGAGGTAGAAGTCAATCAATGACATTAAACGCTTACATCATCGCCGCTAGATTCGAATCTTAATCGATATCTTGTGATAATAACGTGACCAGAGATTTTGCCGATTGGGGACAGATAACCAATATTTTTATCTGAAAAAAAAACATTTTGAACAGAGCATAAAACTATCACACTACGCTCCCTACCCATACGGCCTACAGAGAACCGCAATTCGGAGTAAACTAAGATGACAGCTTAAAAATATATAGGAGCCCTTCAGTCATCTTCAAAACGGCAGCATGTGGATACTACAGTTAAACAAAAATATTCATGATACATGATTAGATAACGAATAGCGTCGTTGGATAGCAAGCTTCACTATATTGTACAGCGGTCCTTATTTCCGCGAGTTCAGCCGGCCAAAATGCATTAAACCCATAAAAATACCATGAGAAGAACTCTTGGATGTTGGTGAGAAGCCAACGTTGGGAACGCTAGTTCAGGCATAAATGTAAAAGCTCCCCTACTGAATGAGCAAAAAGGAAATGAGCATTTGCGGTGAGGAAAGTCCTGCACTATTTATGACTTCAATAAATTTACACACATGTCAGAACTTCTCAAAAGTGGCAATTCGATTTCTCTTGAAAGAACCCCATGCATCCATACAAACCGAAAATGGAAATGAAAAGAAGTTCCACCGTTTCATCTTGCAAAATACTACCCGAAACCTCGTAACTTGGGGTCTTCCCTCAAATGATCAAGCTTCGCCCATTGCAGGAAGTGATCGCGCATATGACTTTGTCATCAGCGCTTCTATGCTACCCTACCATCCGATTTTGAGTTAGAAATGAAAGAGAAAAATAGCCATTAGATAATGGTTCGTGCACTACCAATCATAAGAGGCAATAATACCTTTGATGATTACTGCCTTCAGACTTTTCATCAATACACTGACCTATAAGTTCTACTCGTTCACCGGGAAACTGTCCGTCAAACTCTTTTTCATCCGGTGCTACTCGTAGCGCCGCAATTTGGACCATTCCCTACAAATTGTAAACTGATAGTTAAGTTGTTAAGTTCAGAAAACGTTTTCACAAAGAAACTCTACCCATTCTTCACTCATTCCAGGGCTGATTCTTGGCACCTAAGCAACATACATACAGGTACACCAGCACCTTAAGTATGAAATGGCTTTAGGAAGGTATACCAACAGAAAATCAAGCAGTATCTCCGCATTTCTTACAGCATAAACCATTATAAGTCACGAATAAGAGAGAATCTTTATGTCATGGCACTCTGAACACACGGAATTCGAGGTACTTGACAAGTACTGAGAAACTGAACCCTATTTCACCTAAAACTTTGGCAACCATAACTATCAATATGTACAATGTTAACAATATAATTTCAGATTAAATCTTAAAGAACCTGGGCAATGTAAGCCATGGCAGTACTAGCCATATGAGTAAGTTCCATGTAAATTAGTATTAAACATCAAAAAAGAACCGAAGGTAATGGAGCAGTGAAAAATGACCAAACTAGACGAAAGTATAGAAAAACTACGATAACCACATTAATACTAAGGGAACAGAAAGTGGTTAATAAAAGAGCGGAGAAGGTAGAGTAACCATTTGTGAACTGGTCAGACTTGGTGATAGGTCGCCAACGTTCTGAAAATGTAAATGTAAACGATTTTCGCATTTTAAACGCTACCATTAGCACAACCACTACTTTACAAGCTGATTAAATCGAAAAATAGTGAGGCAACTGAAATGGACAGGCAAATTTTGAGGAAAACAGACTCATGCTTCTAGAAGACTACAATGCTAATCATACTTTTATCTCGCAGATCGTCAAGTCCGAATCAGTTGGTCGGCCTATTTATTTAGTACGACCACCTTAGACTCGAACTCAATCTGAACGATCCACTAGACAAGTACGGTAGTACTATAGAAAGGAAAACGTGCGATAGTAAAACAGCACCACACAAGTACCTACCATGGCGAATGACACAAGCTTAATACATTGTCCTGCTCCCACTAAATATAAATGACGAGAATCAATGACAAGTAACTGACCAGTTTGTACTAAATGAAAATCTCCATTTCCATTTTCTGTTGAAGATATTCCAATTTTACATATTGTTGAAAACGTTAGCTAGTTAATGAACAAGCCTTATTCTTACTGTAAGAAAATATACCTGAGGCCAAATGTTCCACCCTTCACTGGTTCGCATAGATCGTTCTATAAACCCAACGAATCTCATAAAGCATCAAAACAATATATCGGTTAAGTGCAACACAGCAGCGAGCAAGCCTGTTTAGCGTCTAGCGTCTTTCATAAGCTTTGGCTGCGTGCATTATATTGCTGTGTGTATTATATTGTTGTGCCCATTACATTGATGTGTTGTTGAGATCGACTGTCAGAGCCAATTTGTAACTTTTCTACGATACTACAGTTATACAATCTCGTCAGGTATCTAAATAAGTTCACTTCTGACAATAACTTCAACTAACCGGTTGTCCAGGCTTTTCACGATATGTATTCACTGCCTGAATGTCGAATTTAAACAGTTCGACTTCACAGGAATACGCTTTCGGTGTGAGCTTGATTACAGTATGGAGCGGAACTTTGAGGTATGGTAACTCTTCACGGTTTTTGTTGGTAAAATAAGCCAGAATGCATCGAAGGACCGCCTGAAACTATGCACTAACATGTCAACTGAACAGCTATAGAAAAATTCTTATTCCCATGTCAATCTTTGGAAATACTCCAAAAAGTCGGGTACGATTACCTGATGGGAAATAACGAGAACATCTGACTGGCGCTCAAGTTCCATAATAACAGGTTCCAGTCGAGCCACCAGGTCTTCATAACTCTACAACATTAGCAAGTTATACGATGAACTTAGTGAGTAATCTTACTATTTGAAGATTAAATACCC